TCTATCTATCTATCATCTCTCCCGCGCTCTCTCTCTCTCCCTCCCTCTCCCCTCATCTTCCTCCGTTCCTTCAAAATTCCTTAACCCCTAAAGCCTTCCATCACCCCTTCCCCTCCATGGCATGTGACTAACTTCTATCCTCACCGTTACATTTCTAGGGAACGAACGGAAAGGAACTTGGTCCTCACTTGGTGGAGAGCGAGGGCAAGGGAAGGGCTGCCGGTCCCTTGTGCCACCAAGAAGGAAAAGGATACGAGACTATTGAGGACGTTGATGAGAGCAAAAGGGAGTGTTGTTTTGGACAAGGTCAGTTGACTCAACCACCTCCTCGACTGCATGCCTGAGTAAGAAGAGTGTGGTTTGACTGTGAGGAAGGAAGGAAGGCACCCGAAAGCAAGAAAAAGGAAGGGTAAGACTTGGACTTGCATGAGGGGCGGTGTGTTGACCCCATCGGGGACGGACGTATGCCATTGTCATGTTTATTTGGATGTGTTGCAGGTAAGTGGCTTGGACGATCTGACAATATAGGGATTGTGCGACATGGGACCGTAATGAGGAGAAGGGGGTTTGAATCTCGAACGGCCGGGATGGACTTTGGGCTTTGACGATTGCATGACTAGCCCGACCTGAAAAGACTAAGGGTCGGGGATGGGGTTGGAGCCTGACTTTGCTGTGATGTGTGGTTGTGGCTGGGTCGCGAGTTTGGTAGGACCGCCTGGAAGGACTGAGTGCGGTGACGAGACCTGGGAAACGTATGCGTAGGCCGACTAGAGTGAAGATAGGGACTAGGGGCAAAGGGACGAGCCGCCCCGATGATGCTATAGGAAACTAGGGCCGTTAGTGAAGGAGTGCGTGGCCTAAGGAGAACGCTTAGCCTACGCATTGTAAAGAAGAGAAAACTCTCAATGAACCTCCCTTGACTGCCTGAGTATTGGAAGGAGCAATTGCCTGGTAAGACAAACAGAGAATCGAAAACCTTACGCCTGCGGACCGAGACTAGTGAGGCTACCACCCGGCTAGAGGGCTGAGCTACATCCCCAATGTTAAGCTCTCTCGCCCTATTGGCCCAACCCCATCCATCTCATAGCACTAGGTGGGGGTGCCCTTGGGACGAACGACCCGCGCCCTGAGAGTGAGCGTGGGCGGGTCGAGCCAAGTGGGACCCGTAGTGGGGTCGACCAAGGCTCGAAAGTCCTTCAGGGTATGGCCCTGACAAAATGGTGGAGGTGCCGGGTATGGGTTAAGTTGACCCATACGATCTCGAGGGGTGCGCCCGACGCATGACCGAGAACACAAACGTAAAGATAAGAAATATGGACTTGTGTATGCTCTATCCTCTGAGAGACTCATATTTGAGGGTGGCCGGGCGCATGGCAAGGCCAGACCCGGGGGAAGAACATGCATGTTTGCACTTTAGTCAGCCATCTTCTTTGGAGATGACTCTAGTCCTCCTTCCCTTGGACTGATGTTCGTCAGGCCGGGGAAGCCTTGGGTAAGCCACATGTCGACCCTTCCTCTTCGTGCGAAAAAAAGGCTCCGGTTACCTGGCAGGCGATTGGGATTCCGGGCCAAGTCCGGGTTCCAATGAAATCCCGCGGCGGAGTGATCCGACCGACCTGGGTGCTTCTCTACTTCTCTTCGGAGCCTAGCGGGCTCCGTGCACCGCACTTAAATATTTGAAGGAACCTCGTATGAACACAAACGATAATCGAGAAGGAACAATACTGCCCTATGAACGGACACACAAGTGAAGATGAAGGGAATCAAGGGAGTTGCTAGACTCCAAGGAAAAACTAGCTCCCCCTTGAAGATGCTCACGAAAAGGAACCGGACACTATGTATGGAAAGTAGGGGTGAGTGGCGCAGGCTGTCATGAGAGAAAATTTGTGAGCTAGGGGTAGGAAGCGCTGGGTGCACCAGGGGAAAGACACTTATGTTATGTGTGTCCCATTTGGGGCTTGTGATTGCATGATTGGGATTTCGAGCGTCCTGCCATTCGGAAGGAAAGGATTGGTTTGCGCCGGCCGGTGCGGGATGCGAACTGGTCGTCCTCTTTGAAGTTCACCGGGTTCCGTGTGTGGGGGTCGGGCCACCGGACTGTCAGGCAAGGGTTGGTCTCGTCGGCTGATTAGTAGCATTTTGACCCGAGCGGTCCGAGCATGGCTCGATGACCTTGCCCAGGGGGGATGTGAAACCTCTTCATGCGGGGCGGCTACTTGTCGGCAGACGGCAGGGGGACCACTGCATATGGGGCAAGGAAGGAGCCTCGAAGGCGATTAAAAGCTTCTCGTAGCATGGCTTGGGAAGAGCTGTTCCTTATCGGACCGATGGAAGTGAATGCCTGGACGTCTGACTCCAACGGCCCTACCGTGCTCGCGACGGTTGGGCTGTGCTGGGGTATGGGCTGAAAACCCTGCCGATAGTAACAGTGGAGAGACCATTTCTGGGGAAAAGGTCGGTGAGGAGATGACCGACCTGTGTGCGACATTTGTCTGGTTTTGCTTTTTGTGCCTCCCTCTGTAAAGTTGCCTGATGAATGTTGGAAGGGGACCGAGCTTCTAAGTCTATTCTCACCTCCAAGTCTAAGTCCGCACGAGTGAGAGAACATGAGGAAGAGGTTGGACAGGAGTCGGAAGAAAGTGGAACCAACAAAAAGGAATGCGAGCCACTGGTGATCGAATTGGGGGGACTGGTTAGGGATGTGGCGCTGGCTGATACGCTTGGAGGAAGGGTAGAGAACTTTAGGGAGACCTTGATGAGAGGTCTCTAAAAACAACGCTCATCTAGGATAATGGTGGACCTAACCCGAGGGTCGATTGGTGCGCTCATTGGACGAAACAGGTCTTGGCCACCAATATAAAGAAGGCAGGATGGCGCAGTGGCTGGTGTCGCCGACCTACTCAGATGGACCAGAGATGCCAATAGATTTGAAGGGTGGGGTATCAGTCGTAATGCCAGAGGAAGGAACGTGGACGGACCTGGAGCCGGCCTATCAAACCGTAATGCTGGCCGAAAGTTATGCCTTCCTATGGATTGAGACGATGTGGACTAAGGTAACCTTGGCCAGGATAACGCCGTGCCTATTGGACTTAGAGTTCCGCGGGACCGTGGAAGCCCGGGGATGGATCTTTTGTCAAAGGAGAGGGAGACTGTGATGGTTGTTGAACTCGCCTTGGGGAAACTTCCGTACAAACTGTTCAGGGAGGCCGAGCGGGAAGTAGTGTGGGCCGCGTGCCAGCGAGTGGAAATGACGATGGAATCGATTGATGTGCGGGTAGAACTTGGGGATAGGGAAAACGTGCGGAAGCCGTACAGGGCCATAAGGTGTGTCATGCCGCCCTTCATGGTAGACGCCGTCTTTGGAACCCGAAGCAGGTTGGTGCGAATATGCAAGGCCATGGCAGGGTTGGGGTTGCACAAGGGAGCCCGCCAGAATTTCTTCTAGCTGTCGGTCAAAATGAGACCTTTCGAGGGAAACTGGGCAAGGGAACTGGCTGAGATTTTAAACCATCTCAGCACAGACGGCCGGTTCGTTCCAAGCAACGTGCACTGGCGGATAGTTTACAGGAATGTTGCAGTAGGGGAAATCTTTCTGGAGGGTGTACGGGACCTGTGGCCCGAAGAAAATGAAGATGACTCCGAGGAGGAGGACGAGATGAAAATCGAGGAATGGGATTTTTAGGGAAAAAGGGGGGCTGAGGACGGAGTGGTTGGGTTGCATGGGGGTGTGCATTGTGCAGGGAATCAAGGATGGCAAGGGAGCAAAGCTTGTGGGCGCGAATGTTTAGAGGATGGACACCTAGGAGGGTTGAGGGCGGGGTAGAGATGGTCTTGCCAACAAGGAACGAGTGGCGCGGCGCGGCCTGCAACTTGGTGGGAGTAGAGATGGTACCGACTATGTCCTTTTTGTGGGTAGAACGGGTGTGGGATCCGGTTCGAGAAAATGAGGCATTGGATGAAATAGCCGAGAGGAACGTGGAAGCACTTGGGACGGTGTGCCTTTCGAAGAATGGGTGGTATATATTTTGCACGCACCTAGCGGCGGGACGTGATCCGATGTGGATTTTAGAGGATGCCGAGCGGTTAACTTGGGAAATGGGGCAGGGTCGTGATGGGGGGAAGGGAGGACCTTAGGCTCCCCTACCAGTTAGTCCAGGTGAGGGTGCCGCATTTTGTTGCAGATTGGTTCGGAGGGTACGAACATATCCGCGCAGTAGCGGAGTCCATGGACGAGGTAGAGCTAGGCTTCACCAGGTTGTCGGACGCTTATTACGAAGCGTCGTTGCGATTCGGGCCGTTTCACGGGGACCGGGCTGAGGAAGTGGTCGAGATCCTGAAGGAACTTAAGGACTACCGACTAGAGGTAGCAGGGGAAGTTGAGGAGGCGATACTCCGTCGGGAAGTAGCCACAGCGCCCTCGTATGTAGGGGACGTCATCTTGCTGTTTGAGGTCCTATGGATTTGAGTACGGATCAGGGAAGACAGGGGAATAGGGGGATTGACTGGAAAAAGAAAGGGCATTGTACATTAAAAGAAGGGGTAGTGTACACAAAGGGGGGGGGGGGACCGAAATAGAGAGGGGAGGGGCTAGGGCAACTAGGAGATAAGGGGAGAAGACGAGAACTAAGGGAACTTGACTAACATGGTGTGTGCAGAAATCAAGAGCGAGGAGCGGGAGCAGGTAACGAGAAATGGCTAGGCGTATGACGCTTTGGGAAATTCGGCCGCGAGGCTTGCCGCCACGTTTCTTGGATAGAAGGGTGGAGGTTAGCCTGCCCTCTAGGGGCGGGGTGTATAATCCGGTGATGGACAGGGTTGGGGTAGAACTAGTAGAGGACACGGTGTACCTGGTGGTGGAACTAGAATGGCGCGCAAGGGGTGAGTTTGGGGGCACCAACCTGGAGTTGCCAGGACGGGTGCACGCGACAGGGTCCCTATACTTGTCGGATGCGGGATGGCGGACCTTCGGGATGGCCCTGGCGAATGGCAGTGACCCCGTACGGATGTTTGACGGGGCGTGGCAGGTGACCTGGAGGGAAGGGTTTGCGTTCGCCAACCCGGACCGGGATGACGTGACGGCGACCGTCCGGGTGGTCGAGGTAGGAGCTAGTATCTTGCCTTATGAAAATGTGCGCATGGTCTTGCCACCCTTTTTGCTTGAGCGAATGGGAGGGGTAGAACGTGCTGAGATGGCAGTGATAGCCCTGGGTAGGTTGAGTTTTAGTAACATGACCATCTATCGAGATACTACCGAGCCTTTCTGGAACTAGGGCCGTTCGATGAGGAGTAGGAGTACGAGGTGCTAAACATTCTACAGGTCGTAGTGGGCACTAGACCTGGAATACCGACGGTAACCGAGGAAGTCGTGTGGGAGATAGCTAGGCACGAGATAGGATGCGGGCTGACGTATGTGGACGACGTCCGCCGGCTGTTCGAGGGGGTAGAAGAGTAGGAGGGCAGAAAAAAAAAGCAAGGGGGAAGGTAGATCAGCGGGATCGGGCTACAAGGGGGCTTGAATAAAACTAAACAGAAAGGTTCCTTTTCCCTTTTCCCCCCTTTTTTTTGTGCGTGGTGTATGCAGGGTGATATTCGCCAACAATGGCGGCAAGACGCGTCCGTACGAACCGGCGGAACATGCACCCGCAACCGCCCACGGAAACCGGAGGCGGATGGGAAGTATCACTCCCGGCAAGCTACATTGTCCGGGGGATAAATACGGAATGGCGGGATGTGACCCTAGGACGGAATCAGGCTTTCATGTTAGTTGAATGCCTATGGGGTGGCATGAGATTCGATAGGGGGCCAGGAGATGACTTATATACTGACCTCAGGATGACAGGGACTCTATATTTCCCAGAAATCGGGAAGCAAATGTTGGGAACTGGACTGGCCTTGGGGCATGGGTTGTTACCAGTGTTTCGGAGGGCAGTCAGGGTCTTGAACCGGATAGGCCATGAGGTTAGGGGAAGATGGAATGTGGGATTAAGGATGCGAGTAGAAGTAGGGGGATGGCGAGACTTTAGGTCCCCTATGTCTGGACTGCGCTGCCGGGTGCCCCGCTTCATGGTTGATTTGGTTTTTGGGAGTCTCATGCGGGCAAGGGACCTGGTGAGTTCAACTGTAATCAGGGAACGCTACTTCTCACCACAGGCCATGGGGATGTTCTATGACGTGGTAGTAAGGCACGGGCCGTTTTGGGGAAATCGGGCGCGAGAATTGCCGGAACTTCTTGAGATCCTGATATTCGGAATGCCCTGACTGTCGTTTGAGGAATACGAGCCAATAATCATAAGGGAGATCGAGATGGGGGAGAACTATCTCGCAGGGGTGGCAAGACTATTTGAGGAACCGGATGAGAGGGAGAGACCGGAAGAGCCAGCATAGGAAAGATGCCGGAAAAGATGGTAGAAATAAGAACCAAAGGGAAATAAAAATAGGCATAAAAGAACCGATTGGATGACCGCCACTAGGTCTACCATGGGTTGAACACATGCCAGAAAAAGGGGGGGAGAGAGACGCCATTGCAACCAAAGGTGTGGCTAAGATACCTAGGATAAGTAAAGGGAAGAGCAAAAAGGGGCGAAAAATAGGCAATTCTAAAGGCTAAGAGAATTATGTGCGATTGCCAATTTTTTTTTTCCTTCTTCCATATCACAGGGCTAAAGGAAGGAAAACATGGCCACGAGAGATGAGGCTGGAAGTCAATTGAGGGACGAAAATCAGGACGTAGAGGACGATGTAGATCAAGAAGAGCGGGACCTAGGGGATCGGGGGTCGGCAAAGTCACTAGGAAACAGGGAGAGGAGCAAGGACGCTGTGCCCGGGGAAGATTCAGGAAAGAGCAGGGGAAGTAAACGGGGGACTCCGGGAACCAAGGAAGTCAGAGACAGGGAGAGTCCGGCACGTCAGCAGCCCGAGGGGGCGGAGCCGAAAAAGGTCAGGCTAACGGATGCACGGAGAAAGCTAGCCGAAGTAGAGAGATGCACGGCAGCATACAAGGCAAAACTATTGGAAGAGATCGTGAACGATGCTGAGAAAAATGCCGCTGATGATATGACGTGGGAAGAAGGGAAACTGGACCTCGGGCAAGGAAGCCAGGATGGGGATGCACAACACAGGAAGGATCGGCCCAGAGACACGAGGGACGCCCCAACAAGGAAATAGAAAGAAGGAATATAATTCCTTAGGGAGGATAGGGATAAACCAGTCAATCCACCCCTACTGGACAGCGGAGCAAGCCGACCCTCGGAGTCGCCTGTAAGTGCAAGAGGATGCGAGGGACTCTGGAGCCTGAGGGAAAGGGTGCTAGGATGGTTTGACCCGGAAGGGATCGCAAAGCCAAAAGGGCAACTCGATTTTAGCAAGGAGGCGCCGGTCCGAGTTCCACGACAGGACCTGGGATGATTGAGGGAGGGCTTAGGAAGGTGGTGTCATCCCTCACGCGTGCTCTAAGCGAAAACTAGGGATACTTGGCCGACGCCAAGAAAAAACTGACTTTCGATGGCGGAAACATCACCAAGTTCCTAATCGATTAAGAAAATCTAGCAGCCTTACTAAGATGGACTGAGGAGGAAAAGATGGAGCACCTAGGCCAGCATGTGTCACTCAACCTAGGTAGGGACATAATGGCAATCGTCACAACAAGCGGATCATGGAAAGAGGCCAGGGACGTGATGATGAGGAAGTATCTAGCAGACGAAAAGATGGCCACGGAGGCGGAACTGGGTACAGTGCAGGGGAAGAATTTCGCAACATACAACGACTTCCTAAGGGAGTTTACTCTCATAGCACTACGAATCCCCGGAGTGACGGACCGAATAGTGAGCAAGTACTTCCTAAAGCAGTTCACCGAGTTTGACAAAGATAAGATCTTGTCCGCCTACCAACAGACAACAAAGTTCCTGAACACTAGAGACGTAGATTTCAGCACTATAACGGATATTGCAGAGAAGATGGTGGTGACTGACTCGTTGGCCCTGCTAAAAGAAGGAGAGATCATAGATTTGACAGGCAAGATTGAAGATAAAGTGAAGAAAGGAATCGAAAGCCTGCACGAGCGGTTCCACGGGGTTGTCGGCAAGATAGAGAGAGTAGAGAATGCCTTACTGGTGATGCAAGCCCATGTCTCGCAAACGCAAGCAGTACGACCCCCCCTCCCGCCACAAGAGGCAATCGTACCCCCAGGGATAGCCAACCGCGGTAATAATCGAAAGGACCCGACCAATGAGCAGTGCAAGTACTGCACGACTGTCGGACATTTTGTCCGCATATGTCCCAGGCTTAACCACGATATCATCCTTAAACGGTGCTTTATAACTTTGCGCGGGGAAATCCTGGGGCCACGAGGAGAGAGGGTAAACTGGAACTTGCCGGGATGGATGCGCAGAGCAGTAATCGCACTCAACAACCTGGATGCAGCCGCGGTTGAGGCCGAACCAGTAGAGGAACTTACCTGGGGACAGGCACCCGGGCGAGGGCACCAGGTTAACTTCATCACCGAGAGTAATGACCGCGACGGGTTAATGTGACCACCAAACAACGGGTGCTACAAAGAAGGTAATTCATGACGCGGTCATGGAAGACGCGCAGGAAGGGTGGAATCCGCCAGCAGAATCGGATTAGGACAAAGTTTACGGCAAGCCTAGGGAGGAGGCGCCCATAGACAAAGTAACATCCGCCAAGAAGAAACTTAGGTACCAGATCCCTATCCTTGCCGATCCTGAGATAAACCACACTCTTAGCCAGTTGCTAGGGACCATGGTATCGGTTTCCTTCCAGACCATGTTGCAGGCTAGTCCTAGACTACTAAAGGGCCTAAGACAGCTGCTAACAAGGCAAAGGGTGGAAGTAGCGGAGGAACCGGATGTACGCGAAGAAGGCAAGAAGAGGAGCCACCGCGGGAAGTGGCAAACCTTCAGAGGGCCCCCGGGAATCTGGAAGATCTAGAGAAGACCTTCGCAGACATCCGGCTAAGTCTGCCAGACCGGGAAGGCGGAGAAGTTATGAGGGCACCGCCTAGCACGAAACTGAGTTTCCATGCGCTACCGGTAGGGAAACTGAAAGTCCAGATTGGCACCCACCATACGGATGCACTGGTAGATGGCGGGGCAGAAATCACACTCATTCGCAAGGACTTTGCAACAATTGCTGGGTGCCCAATCAACCGGGAGGTCACGGGGAGTGTCCGGGGAGCAGGTGGGGAAATCCCCATTTTCCGGCTATGTTACCAAGTGCGCAGTTAAAGCCGGGGTTAGAGAGTCTATATGGTCGTTCCAACGAATGACCGTCATGGACGAAATGGACCATGACATGATCCTCGGGTGCCCGTGGTGTGCGAACGTAGAGATGATCGGGATGCATCTGCACGACGACGCCTACATGGTAGACATAGAGGACCCAGTGACAGGACGAGGCGAGTTGCTTCGCCTTATGGGAACCGGGGGAGACACGCCAAAAGGGAAGCTCGCAACCTGGTCACCCTCCTTTGAGGAGAGCGCTAGAAAGGGGGCTTTCGCACGCATGRAAGGGATGAGAGAGAGGGTGGAAATTATGATCGAAGAGGCCTTTAGTAAGAAAGAATGGGTCAAGATGGGACTCCCGATGAAGAAATGTAGGTCAGACGAAGACGCCCTAGGAGTCATGGTAGTAGAGAAGGAAACAGAGGTGGAATTGGGAGCCAGTTTGCCCAAGCACGGGGAGATCCGGGATAAGAAGGATAAGGTCACACTAGAAATCCCGGACTTACTGCAGCTTGTCAAAGCAATCAGGTACCACAAAGTGGTCGTTGACCCGGCCGCCCTCGCCCGCTTTGAGGAGAGGGTCCAAAAAGGCTATTGCCTAAATGGGGAGTTGGTCAGTATTCAACCCCGCATTGTGGAAGCGCCGCAAGCAACTCCGGCCGTTCATTTTTTAGAAGAAAAATCCCGGAAGGAAGCGTTCGGAGGTATAAGCCAGTAGGAAAGAAGGCGAAGCCGGTCTCCATCCTACTCGAGATGACTAAGGAGGAGGCCATGGAAAAGGAGGAGGAGGTTCTTCGGGTAATTAGAGAAAGGAGGGTGGCGGAAGGACATAGGATACCGGATGAGGTCGCCCAAACCATGAAGATCGGAGTAAAGGGTTTTCTGACGGAGCAAGAAACACAGACAATCAAAGAAGTATGCCAAGAATCTCACCTAGCATTCGCTTTCAATGACCATCAGAAAGGGCGCCTGGACGCTAAGTTGATCCCACCAGTCAGGATCCACACGGTCGAGCCTGAGTGTTGGAATGACAAGGGACCGGCCTACGACTTTGGGATCGCAGGAGAAGTGACGGAGCTCCTTAGGGCAAAAATGGACTCCTTCGTGGCAGAACCCACCGCGTCTCCTTATGCCAACAAGTGGTTTGTATTCCACAAGCCCAACAAGTCACTTAGGTGGATTCAGGACCTGCAAAAGTTAAATGTTGTCACCATCCGGGATGCGGGATCGTTGCCGCATGCAGATCTCGTGGCCGAATCCCATGTCGGACGCAGTATTTACTCCTTGATAGATCTGTACTCAGGATACGACCAGCTCCCGCTGGACACACGAGATAGGCCCTACACGGCTATGCATACGCCAGTAGGACAGTTGCAGATGCAGGTCACGCCTATGGGATTTACTAATGCGGTAGCAGAGACACAGAGGAGGATGCTCGCGGTGGCCGGGGACATGTTCCCAGACAAATGTGAGCCCTACATTGACGACAACCCTGTCAAAGGAGCACGGGAGAAGGATGAGACCGAAGTCCAGCCGGGGATAAGAAAGTTTGTTTGGGACCACCTACAGGATATAAGAGAGTTGCTGCGAAGATTCCTAGAATACAACATAACCGCTAGTGGTCCGAAGAGTATCTTGGCAGTTCCAGAAGTCACAATTTTGGGATTTCGTTGTGGGGCTTATGGAAGGAAGCCGGATCCGGCTAAGACCGATAAGATAGCACAGTGGCCTACGCCCCTTCGAACTACAACAGAAGTCAGGGCATTCCTGGGGGTGGTAGACTTTTGGAGAATCTTCATAAAAGGGTTCGCAAAGATAGCGGAACCGATTTGAGCTATGATCCGTGAGGAAGGCACGCTCGATTGGACTGAGGAAAGGGGATCGGTCGTCTAGACCCTGAAAAATATTCTCACATCTGAAGAAGTCACCCTTGCCGCTCCGTGTTTCAACGACGAGGTCGGTCGACCTTTCATCCTTGAGACGGATGGAGGACCAATGGCAGTCGGCGGGATGCTAATTTAAAAAGACGAAGATGGTAGAGAGCGACTGATCAGATTTGAGAGTAGGACGCTCAATTTGGCTGAGCGGCGCTACTCTCAGTTCAAGAAGGAGGTACTTGCGATACTGCATTGCCTCAAGACCTTTCAGGCTTACCTCTTCGGGAGGAGGTTTATCCTGAGGATAGACCCAACCAATGTCGCCGGGGCCCTGAACAACTATAAGCCTATAGACCCGACTGTTGGAAGATGGGTAGGATTTATCTGGCAGTTCGACTATAAGATTGAGCGCATAGCCGACCTTAGGAATCGAGAAGACGGACTGAGAAGGGTGGCTCTCACACCCGAAGGGCTAGAAGAGGCCGATCGACGCGTTCCTCGACTACGAGGGCGGGACGCTGGTAGTAGACAGCGAGATGGCCGGAACCACTTGCACAACTTGGGAGCTATTAATCAAAGCACTCGAAAAGGGGCCTTCGACAGTGGTTGCCGAGTTAAGGGAAGGAACGGTCACCAGAGTTGGAAGGAGGGAAGAGAAGGACGCTTGGGGCAGTGTTGTGAAGCCCCGGGATGAACAAATCGCACTAGCCGTTGAGGGAGGCTGGAGAAGGGTTATGAGCATGATGGAGTCTCAGGAGCTGGAGATGCAGCACTATCAGGCCTATCAGGTGGATAATAATCAGACGGGTACT